GGAAACCAAAGAATCACTTAATTCGATTCAGCTCGATGCGCAATAGTCTCACGACTCACAGAGGATGCTTACTATTCGGAGACCGTCTCATCATCACTGATAGTCCACAAGCCGCTGTTCTCTTAGACCTACATAATGGCCACCCTGGGATTTCAAGGATGAAGATGCTGGCCAGAGACTATTGCTACTGGACACACATCGACAAGGATATCGAAGACATCGAAGACAAAGCAAGAACTCCATCGAGAATACACCTTCTTCAGGGCCTGCAGAAGAGAAGCCATGGAACCGCGTTCATGCTGACTTTGAGGATCATTTGATGGAAGAATGTTTCTTGTACTCGTAGACGTCTGCTCAAAGTGGCTAGAGATTATTGAAACGTCATCCACGACATCTCGCTCAACAATCAAGGAACTTCAACGATTACTCTCACAATTTGGCTACCCGGAAACTTTCGTCACTGACAACGGAACATCATTCAGTCAAAAAAATTCAAGGAATTCTGTTCGCAGAATGGAATCAAATTGTTCGTTCACCATCATTTCACTCACAATCCAACGGCCAAGCTGAACGCTTCGTAGATACATCATGGACTTCAGAAAGCTCAAAGGGGAATGGAACGCACAGGAGCTTTGCAAATCGTTCCTGTATCAAACTACCGCAAAACACCATTGCCCAACATTGTGCGGACTGTCACCAGCCGAAGTTTTTCTCGGCAAGACGTTTGCGCTCCACGCTCATATTGCTGAAACCGTCGGAATCAAGGTCAGAACTGAGAAGAAATAAGAAAATGGAAGCTCAAATCAACGTTCACCACGGAGCAAAATCAAGAAGGTTCAAGCCTGGTGATTATGTCTGGATTCGCGATTACCTTGCTGGATGCCCGAGGTGACAAGGCCGAGTGGAACTTCCAACATGACAGTGTCTACAGGGGGGGGGGCAAAAAAAAGTCACTTCGACCGAGTCACATATCAGCAAAGTTTTCGCAGCCCAGAGAGAAGACGTGGATACGAGTACCAGGGCGGAAGATACCCAAGATGTTCCTCGATAAGCAGGAGCTGGCCTCGCCCATCACCTTCATGTACACCAAAATATGAGGTCATCTCCAGTCGCAGCCTGACTGGAGAAGACCTTTGGAATTCATGTCACCTCCAAACAGCTGCGAAACTTCTAGTGTGGAGTCACCCATGGGTAGCTACCTGGAGACCAGTACTCTCGATCTGGAAGACCTCCAACATCGAGCAGCTCCGACAACGTCGCTACGGTCTAGGACATCATCTTCACGGCAGTCGCCAAGGCGCGGGTTGATGGTATGGACCGGACGCACCTGGAATGGAAAGACCAATATTTTCTTCGTGGACCCCGGACTGAAGGTGAGCGCTGGCGGTTACATCGACCAACTCAAGAAGAATATCTTCCCCACATGTCGTCGCCCGTACCTTCTTGGAAACTTTGTACTGCTACAGCATTGGGTGCCACCACGTGGAATCGAAGGGCGTTGGAGAAACTCTCGCCTACCTGGAATGGAAGGGGGCTGAGTACCTAAAGAAGATGGAATATCCAAGTAGGTCACCTGACCTGAATCCCCTCAATTACCCGGTTCGGGCGGAGTTCAATAGGGTGGTCTACGGTGGCGGAGAAATCGACTATCTCGCTGATCTCAGGGACCACATCGCGGTTGCGTGCCAGAATCTCTCGATGGCGCTCCTCCAGAAGGCTGTGGCGGAGTGTCTATAGTATTTAATATGCTCTTTAAATGTCCGATCAGAATTTATAAAGTGTAACTTATAGCGCCTCGAAAGTCAATGAAGCAAAGTGACTTTTTTTGGCCCCCGCTGTATATGATGTTCAAGTCGACGATCAACTCTGGAGAAGACACGCCAATCAACTGCGGCCCAGTACCTGCCCAGCAAATACGACATCGCTTACGGATGCATTCGATTTGCCGCTGCTTCCACGTCTGGACGCTAAGGAACCCATACGAGAAGACCGATGCTGTGTCGAACAGGGACCAACTGCCGATCCAAGATGCCGATCCGCCTTTAAAGGCACTTTCCGCGATAAAATAAGGCTATGACCTTTCAAATGTGTCAGACGATCCGGAAGGAGATTGCGGAGGCTGCGCTACCTTTAGAAAGTGAAAATCGGCAAGAATTCCGCTTAAGCTAACCAATTAGGCCCATGGGCGCCCCTTAGGCCCATGCCGACCCCCACCGGCTGCTAGCTACTAGCTAGTAGCCACTATGCTATCTCTCTCCATTCCGAATGGTGAGAGTGAGGTGATACGATAAAAGAGCTGATATCTTTATGATAACGACGAGTGGAAATTCGTACAAACATGCGTTTTCTTCATTGCATGCATGTACAAGTTGGGGTCGATATGGAATCCTATTTAGGGCATTTTCGGCTGTTTTTCTGCTGCTTTTCTCCGCTAATCAGATACCTAGCCCTTTTTCGTTCCTATGTGGGTTCCGTTACCCACAATCTGTGGTCGCGGGCTTTGCCTTTAACACCGCTCGACATAAACGGTCAAGACGTCCGCCAGTTCGATTGCAAATCAATCCGAAGAAGAAGACATACACATCTAATGTTTGTCTATAGGAGGGAGGTGTTGTGAGGGTGATACTAGATCACTGTATCCCTCATCAACATCCTACACTGCTCGGTATATAAGAGTATGGTCCATCCTATTATTGCTCTCTCGGAATAAACCTATTCAACCTCGTCGTACGCGTCCTGTACATTTCAAGGATTACAACAATACAGTACCACCTATCTCGATTTAAACTGCACTTTCGCATGAGCGCAGTGCTTGCAGTTGCAACGGTGCTTTTACAAAAAGCTTACATCGCTCTCCACACGGACAATGATGAATTAGAATTTTCAAAAAGAACTTTATGGGTCGCCGGCAAGAACTAGGTTCTCAAACACGTGATGAGACGATAAGGAAACAAGTTCGTCCAATAAGCACAAACCACAACAAGCAGAGAACGAAAGTGGGACCGTTGCCTTAGGATCAGGGCACACCATCGCGTTGTGATCAATTCCGAGAAATACAAGCCCCCCCCCTCCTCATTCTACTCACCATTTTCCTAGATTTTTTGAACTCCCCACTTTTTTCTCAAAAAAATTTCCGGTCTTCCCCGAAAATTTTGCTGTCGAACGGGGGTGGGCGAGGATATCGTCCGGATTTAACTATCATTTTCAACTATCGGGGGAAAATTAGTAGTTGTATAGAAAAGCTTTAAGCACAGCCACACTCATACAAATCAACGACCACAAGACGACCCCCCCTTCCCTCGCGGTCAAATATAGACCCCCCCTGTTCGATCACCATAACGATGGCGTTCCCTGCTTAGGATTAGCGAAGTGTATTGCTGTACCCACAGGGTACACCCGCGCATATGAAAAGTTCCTTAGCATAGTTCCTTAAAGTATGAACTTTAGCTTCACAAATCGGCGTTGACAAATGCGGATTTCTTAACCAGTCAACGAGACAGACCCAATGCCCTTTGACTCTGATTTTCCTTTTCCCTTCAATTATTTAACACATTGGCGACAAGGCGCCTTTTCGCGTGTCTGCCGCGTGGGACGAAGCAATTTTTCCCTATTTTTGAGGAATGCGCATGAATGCTAGGGCGTTTACACACCAAAACACTTGCAGAAGGACTAGTATTCAATGCAGAAGCTAGTAAATTTTTGCTGTTTTTTTACTTTCAATTTAAACCCTTAATTTTCGTGGAATACTCCCGCCCCATACACGCGGAGCGTGGGAAAGAGGTCGCAAAAAAGGAATTTTTTGGCGCCAGAGGCAGTAAATTGGATTCGATCCAGATCTGCTATTGTAGAAAGTTACCTTATCACGTTAGCTATCTACATGTGGAGCTTGAGTTCTATTTATCCAAAAATTACCTTTTTTTCCTAAGGAAATCACTTTCCTTTGTATCCTCCGTAAAATACTCCCAATGACACAACTGTTAGTTTTGCAGCTACTGTATATTCTACAATGCCTTCCTGTACAATATGTAGCTGTTGAAAATTTGAAACGTTTTCAAATTGGTTTTTTACCCATGCCGCATCCCAGCAGTGGGACGCAATGTCGCCAACGTGTTAATAGAGTAACAGCCACGAAAAGGAGGTTCTAGTCGGCAGCCAAGCTCGACTTTAAGGAAGATAAGGGAAGGGTACGGTATTGGAGAGGCAAAAAGCGACACTTACAGTATGTATGTAACATCGCCAGTAGGGGCCCGCTCATTCAGCGATGTCAAAATTTGTTAATATCCTTGTCTCTCTTGTAATACCCTTCTGTCTATTCACCACTTGTTAATTTCTTCGCTAGTCTCCACTAACCGATCACAATTAGTAAGGCAAGGCAGCCGAAGGGCGGCTCATTTCGCCCCTTCTCCCCCCCCCCCCCAACCCCTGCAACTGTGCTGTCTGATTGCAACGTTATTACCTGTACAGTTCAGGACTCTCTAAAGCCGTCTGACTCCCGAAAGAGCATCCGTGTGATAGTAATGGAAGTTGACCAAGGAAGTAGGTGAAAAAGGGTGCTATATGTCAACATACAGGGGGCCAATAAGAGTCACTTTTCTTCCTTGACTTTCGAGGCGCTATAAGTTACACTTTATCAAATTCTGATCGGACATTTCCACCACCATATTAAAGAGCATATTAAATACTATCATGACACTCCGCCACAGCCTTCTGGACGAGCGCCATCGAGAGATTCTGGCACGCGACCGCGATGTGGTGCCTGAGATCAGCGAGATAGTCGATTTCTCCGCCACCGTAGACCACCCTATTGAACTCCGCCCGAACCGGGTAATTGAGGGAGTTTAGGTCAGGTGACCTACTTGGATATTCCATCTCCTTTAGGTACTCAACGCCCTTCCATTCCAAGTAGGCGAGAGTTTTTCCAACGCCCTCCGATTCCATGTGGTGGCACCCAATGCTGTAGCAGTACAAAGTTTCCAAGAAGGTACGACATGTGGGGAGGATATTCTTCTCGAGTTGCTCGATGTAACCGCCAGCGCTCACCTTAGTCCGGGGTCCACGAAGAAAATATTGGTCTTTCCATTCCAGGTACGTCCGTCCATACCATCAACCCGCGCCTTGCGACTGTGGTGAAGATGATGTCCTAGACCGTGGCGACGTTGTCGGAGCTGCTCGATGTTGGAGGTCATCCAGATCGAGAGTACTGGTCTCCAGGTAGCTATCCATGGGTGACTCCATACTAGAAGTTTCGCAGCTGTTTGGAGGTGACATGAATTCCAAAGGTCTT